TTGCAGGGTGGAAGGCAATAACAATAACCTAAAATATCAAGAAGTATTAACTACCTCTTACATTCCCAACCATAAAAGGGGTCAAATTTTGCAGCAGGATGGTGCTCCATCACATACTTCTATCTCTACATCAAAGTTTCTCAAGGCGAAGAAGATCAAGGTGCTTCAGGACTGGCCAGCCCAGTCACCAGACATGAACATCATTGAGCATGTCTGGGGTAGAATGAAAGAGGAAGCATGGAAGGCAAAACCAAAGAATCTTGATGAACTCTGGGAGGCATGTAAGACACTTTCTTTGCTATTCCTGATGACTTCATCAACAAATTGTATGAATCATTGTCAAACCGCATGGATGCGTCCTTCAAGCTCATGGAAGTCATACAAGATATTAAATATGGATCACACAGCACCACTACTTAATTCACTGATGTTATGCAACATATTTTTGTATTTGAAGTAAATTATTTGTTCAATTTTCTGTAGGCGACAAAACTTTTGTCTTGCCAAAATCTGACCTTTCTGTGTTCATTAAATGATCAATCTTTCTTCAGTGAAGCAAATTTATTTTAGTATATTGAGCATAGTTTGGGAGGGTTTTAGCTTTCATATGAGACATTTCTAAAACCAATCGATTAATTTAAAGTCAGGTTATAAAAATGGATAAGCGACAAGACTTTTGTCAGGGACTGTAAACTACACATATCAAAAGGTATTCATTTTCAGTTTCAGTTTCATTTGAAAGAAAGCTTCAAACAGGAAATCAGGTCTGTGCATCACATTTGAGGCGGTGTACAGAAACACGTCACTGTGATTTTTCGGACAAATTTTGTGATCGCGAGTTTTGTAATAATAATCCTATTCTACGATTCTTTAAACACGTCGAGAAGAATTGACAAAAACACTGAAATCTTTTTTTCAGACCAAGAGTTTGTTTTCGTCCCTGACAGCTTGTTCTTCTCCCTGCGCTCTCCCTCAGAGTCATGTTTCTTTGACGTGTTGCTCAGATGATTTCAACAGGTTTTAGAGGAGGAGGAGGCAGGACGACAACGCCACACGGGACAATAAACCGGGACGAGGGGCTTTTTTACTCTCACACACCTGGGATAGTGTCCTGAGAAATTTGGACTGCAGGAGGCACTGAGGAAGAGCACAGGGAGCAGAACAAACACATGAAAAACAAACTCTTGGTCTGAAAAACGAACCTCATAACATCATTTATCTGAAGAACAAATGATCCTCATGAAATATGAACTGACAAATGACAAGAATCACATTTCACGACGCTTGTACGATGCTTTCACGCACAATCAGACAAACAGGGATTTTGTCGTTTGAGGAAGAAATTACATTACTTAAATTTTTTTCAGAGTCTTTGTGATTTTCTGTCTCCGTTCAGATTGTGATTTGGAGATGAAACTTTGAGCCCGACTGTACTTGAATCACTTGAAGCACTTTTAAATTTTTTGTTAAGAGGAACTTTATTTTAAAAACTGTCTTACGTCGAAGAAGAATTTATGACAGTAAATGAAAGTTTGAAATGTGATAGTACTGAATTATTAACTGAAAAAATTGACTTAAAAACATAAATGATTTTGTGGAGTTTTGAGCAGCCTGTTCCTGATTCTGCTGTTGTAGCTCATATTTATTTTATTTCACCACATTTATATAATTTTATTTGTATTAAAAATCACCTTCTGATTCCATGGAAACAAAAAAGTTAAAACCAACAACGGAACATTCTCCATGAAGACAGATATGTTTGTTTTATTTTATTTATTTTATTTTTTATTTTTCTAAAACGTTACATACTGTTGAAGGGTTTTTTTTGTTTGTTTTTTATCTTGTTCATTCTATTCTAATAAATAAAATTCTAATAAATAAAATAAAATAAATAAATGTAATGGCCTTGAGCAGGTTTGTTGTTGTATGTTTTCAGTGCAATAACACAATAATAAAAGAGCACGCTTTTATTTGAGCCTCGTTTTTGTCTAAAAAAGTGACAGAGTGTGGCTTTAGGAAGGCCCCCAACTTTCTGCCCATGACTTCAGCTCACGGGGAAACGTTCAGACACATGGAAATAAATGTAAATGAGTCAAACCTCGCAGAATTCTCAGAGCTGCATCTAAGCACGACAACGCAGAAGGAAACCAAGCAATAAATAAATAAAATTAAAAATAGATAAATAAAATGAAATACAATAAAAATAAATGGAACAATAATCTGTCACAACCAGATGATAAACTGCAGTAACACCAACATCCTCCATCTCAAACAAATGCACTTTAAAAAAAAAAAAAAAAAAAAAAAGAATATGAAGCTGATTTGATGCATATATTCTATTTTCTCAAGTCCTGCTTCAGTTTCTGCTTCAACACAAAATCAATCAAACCTGAAGAGCTCCTCCAAACATGTAAACCTGAAAAGTTCACAGTGATACAGCTCCAGCATCAGACAGGCCCCAAATAAAGGCCTGACACAAAGAAACCAGACCTGATTTATCTCACACGTTTTATGATTGTAATTTTTTTTTACATAAATAAAAACATTCTACAGTCGACAGAAGACTGAAACATGAACTGACAAACAAATCCAAAACTCTCCAAACCTCCATGTATTTCAGAACATGTTTGCAGAGGTCTGAACTACAGGGGCAAGACTTTTCAAATAAAAACACACAATCATTCAGAGGTGGGAAAATAAACTATTCTGCATCAAATAAATTGTATTTCTTTATAAAAACGCGGTAAATATCATTGTTTTGATGAGCTGCTCAGACTGGGAAGAGTTTATGTTATGAGTAATTAAAAAGTGAGGCTGTTAAAAAAAAAAGAACAAAAGTTATTTAAAAAAAACAACTCTAAAATAAAAGCAATGCAGCTTTAATCCAGGCATAAAGAAAAACAGACATGTCAAACTCAGGCCCGGGGACCAAATTTGGCCCGCGATATAATTATATTTGGCCCGTGAGATCATATCAAATCTGTATTAGAGATCGACTATAGAGACATTATTTATTTAAAATGTTGTTATTATTTTATACTCTGTTTGTTCTAGATTCACTGTTTAAGCAAAACTATTATTAAATATGTATTTTAATAAGAAAAGGTTTAACATTACAGATCTCAAAAGAAGAGAAAACATGCAGATGATGTTGAAATTTTTCAATAAATATTTTGTTTGGTCCATGACTTAATCCCAGTTTTTATTTTGGCCTCTGTGAATTATTTGAGTTTGACACTCCTGAAGTCAAATGATAAAATATGTTTATTTTGTAATTCCAAATGATCTTCAAATCTTCAAGGGGCCGGTCAGAGTCAAACAAAACTCGGTCCCAAAGCTGGACAATGCTCAGGTCTGCATTATGTTTTTTATTTTTTTATTTTATTTTTTTTTTTTTAATTATTTATCGCTACTTTATAATTTGTATGTTTTTTTTCTTTTATTTGATTTGACTGTTTTTTTTTTAAGACTAGTCTGACCAAATTTGAGCAATTTACCTTTTTATTGTCTTCATTTGATGGTCTCTGTGCAGTACTTTGGAAACAGTTTTGTTTGTAAAATGTGCTGTAGAAATAAAGTGGATTTAAATTTTGTTTTTTGCAGAGAACATTCTAATAAGTGGTGTCTTTGTGATTTGATAATTGCACCTACTTCTACTTCAATTACAATTTAAAATTTATAACGATTTATTACTTCTATTTCAATTTTATTTTGACTTGTACATTTACATTTATATAATTTTGTCTAATTTGACTCAAGTCTGTTGCTGTTTTTTGCAACTTATTTTAGAATTTATTTTAATCATTTATATTTCTTCTCTTTGTTATTATATTTTATTGTGATCTTTGAGCTCCTGTGTCCAAATCATTTCACTTGTGGATCAGTAAAGTTTGTCCAAGTCTAACTGTGCAGCTTTAATGCAAAACAAACACTTTTACAAACTTTTCCTGCAGTACTTGAATACTCCACCCCAGTACTTGTGTTTCTTGTACTTGTACTTGTGTGTACACGCAGAAGCTGCACGTCAAACATGAAACTGTGCACCGAACATCACCGCTCAAAAGCTCGTCATAATAGGCCTAACATGGGTCTAATATATGCGGCCCACGTGCTGATGACACAAACAAGGCGAAGCTTCAACAACAAGTCCTCAATCCCCCCCGTCCCCGCCCCCTCTCGCGCGCTCAGGTCTGCGGAGGGTCCTCGTGTGTTTTTTTTTTTTTGTTTTTTTTTTTGTTTTTTTTTTTTTTTGTTGTTTTTTTTTTCTTTTCGGAGTTTTTTTTTTTTTTTTTTTTTTTTTTTTTTTTTTTGGCGCACTTATGTCACACGCGCGCGCACGAGCTCACAACATCCACGAGCTTCAAAACACGGAGGGTAAAATGTGCCCGAAAATGTGCGCTCTGCCCCGGTCACAGCTCGTCCACAGCGCGGGGACCAGCACCAACTTTTATCATACACCCCTCTCTCTCTCTCTCCCCTCTTTCTCTGTCTATCTCTCCTCTCTCACCCCATCTCTTTTCCTCTCCCCTCCCTCTCCCCCTCTCTATCTCTCCCTCTCTCTCTCTCTCTCTCTTTCTCTATCTCGCTCTCCGCCGCCGCGCAGCCTTTGATAAATAATCTCTCCAAAATCATCCGCTCAACGTAAACTCACAAACACACGGCGTCACGGTGCGCCAGGCCCGGACCCCAGCTCCGCTCTGACCGACTTTAACCGACTTTTACAGAGCCAACACAACAAACACACGACAAAAAGCACGAGAGAGCACGGCGAACGCACGCTTTAAAAGTCCACAAACTTCCACAAAGTCGCACGGTTACGCGCACACCGACTGCGCTTCGGTAACGACACATCTATAACGCGTGGACCGGCCCCGCGGCGAGAGGAGCTGCGAGGCCGAGGAGAGAGCACCAAATCCGGGCACGAGAGAGCAGCGCAGCCCCACATGCAGCGGAGCGACGTGCAGCGACATTACGAGCCCAGAAAAGCAGCAGTTACCCACCGAAAAGTTTGCAGCGCCGCATGAGCCTCTCCACGGATCTGGCCCGGATGGTCCCGCTCTGGCCCGGGTGTTCCGCGGGGGGACGGGCCGTGTGACTCCCGGGGTCCGAGGCGTGCGTCCCGGGGGAGGTTCGGGACTTTTGTCGGTTCTTTTGTCGGTTCTATTGGGTCTCTTCGCGCTGGGGCCTGCGGAGCTCAGGCTGCGGCGCACTTCTGGGCGGTGAGCATTGTGGGAGAGTGACGTCACACTTTCACAAAGTTTTTTTTTTTTTTTTTTTTTTTTCAGGCGCGCGGGTCTCACGGCTGCACGAGCACGGAGCGTACGTGCGTGTTTACTCTTTCTAAACACAGAACATACAGAACATAGACACGTTAAAGACGCACGAGGCTGAGGACAGGGCCCGTGTCACCCACAAACCCGCACCCAGCCTCTGAAGGTTTAAATCACGTGACAGGTGAGCTGTATGGGCACGAGGCTCAAATAAAAATAAAATAAAAACACTGAGGTGACTTTAGTGCTGTGTAACCTGTGCGCGCGCCTCTGGACATGACAACAGTCCGTGTGCACAACAGGAGCCGCTGTAGAACTTTACTTTTATTTTTGCACAGGGTTTTGTTTAATTTTCTAATATTTATTTATCTTGATTCTTCAGTGCCTATTTCTATATTTTTTGCTGTTTATAAACTGTTGCAACACTGTAATTTCCCCATTGTGGGACAAATAAAGTCTTCCTTATCTTATCTTAAAAGAAAGATTTGTAACAAAACAATGTCCATATTAGTAGTTTGAGTTCGTTCTTCAAATTCTTCAAAAGTTACAAATCTGTAAGATTATTTGAACTTCCTGGAGGCCTGTTCTTCAGAAAACAAACAAAACAAACAAAAAGAGTAAAAACATGATTTAAATATTATGATCTAAATAGACCAGAGTCACTGGAGCGTTACCCGGATGTTCGGACCGTCTCTGTTCACTAGATTTATTTGTTTGAATTTAGATTTTTTTTATATATATATATAATTTAAATGAATTTATAAAATAAACAACCAACATCTGAAACATTAACAATGATTTCCAGAGCTCATAAATCACGTCAGTACTTTTAATCAATTCATTATTATAACTTTATTGTTTTAAAACACATTTACATTTTACGTTTAGCTTTGGACAGAGTCGTGTGCGTAATGCGTAAAACCTGTGCGTAATGGACATCCCCACGTGGAGGAGGTGAGGGACTGCTGCCACTGTGCACTTTTTTTTATGAGGAAACCAAACTCCTAATCACAAAATAAAACTGTTTATAACTGCAACATCACATTTGGATAATTTTTAAGTCAATCTATATGTGATGTAGATTTAACAACAACAACGTGAATAGAACCAGAGAAACGCGCGTGTCTGCTGCTGTTTACTGTTAATGGAGACGTAAATAAAATCAAACTAGACGCGACAGTTCGGTGGAAAGGAAATATTGCGTTGATTTTTTTGATCATATATGAGGAGAAGCAGTAAAAATATTGAACACAAAAATCAAATAAAAAAAAAAAAACATCTGTGCGTAAAAGTTCCAACTTTGTGATTTAACTTTCTCTTTCTCACTCCCACCTCTGTCTCTCTCTCACTCTCTCTCTCCGGTGGTGGTCTCGTGCACAGTGCAGAGACGCGGGGTGAGAGAAGCACTTCCAGGTCGCACGAGGCCGCTTCCTCACGAGCCTTTACACACACACACACACACACACACACACACACACACACACACACACACACACACGCACACGCACACGCACACACACACACACACACACCGTCACCCCGTCACCCCCCCGGCCTCGCTCCGCTCCGGTCAGCAGCCCGCAGGTGTGTGGAGCCTGGGTGGGTTGGTGGGTGGGCACACGGTGGAGAGGGGGGGGGGGATCCGTGACGTTTTTTACACATCAATGAAAGTTCAGAAAACAAGTCGAATCTGCCCCGAAGTGCGCCGCTTCCGATTGGGGAATTGGATTTGGAAAACTTTTACGCAGCGCCTGAATTTATCCAACCCGTCTCCAACCCGCGTCCACCCGTGTTTTTATTTATAATCATAGTGTAAATTATTTGTAAATAGCCTAAAGCGTGGTCCAAAACGGTGAGTTTTCTCACGATCATAAAATTTAATTAAATTGTCTGGAAATAACTGGACTAAAAATATTGTCTCTCGGGTGAAACAGCTGCGTAAAACGGTTTGTGGTTTTCAAAATATTGCTCCATTTCCGAGTTTGCGCGAACGCAACTGAGGCTTTGCGGAGAGTTCAGTGCGTTTGCAGCGAGCAGAAAAAAAGTTATGTTGTTCAGAGAAAGAGGCTCAGAACCAAAGCGGAACCGAAGCGAAATCGAAGCGCAGGCGCGTTTTTACTGCCACTTCTCCGGAGGAAAATGTTCGATCTGATTTTGATTTTTTTTTTTTTAATTTTATTCAGGAAGAGCACAAACTGAAGCTGAGTTAGTTTGGTTCGGGGAGAGAGGGGGCAGGTGGGAAATGAAACCAGTAACGAAGAACACTGCACAACTAAAAAGAAAAAAAAAAAAATCTACGTACTTTAAAACATCACCAACCTACAACATTTTTAAATTAAGAAAGATCCAGGCCCAGAGAATAAATATTTGTAAGGAGACAATGGAAAAATGCAAAAATCTAATGGACCAATGACTGTTGATGAAATAATACAGAGAATATTTATTTATTTATGAACAAAAATACAAATGAACATATCTGTTTTGTCACTACTGTGAGGTGTAAATGGATTAAAAATACAATAATAAATACTGAAGATTTTTGTGACAATAACTTATGTTTGGACTGTTGATTTAGTTACAAAAACGCTTTTAATTTGAAAAACATGGTAAAAATAAAACAGATTGATCCTGAAGAGAAAAGTTGAAATGATGGAAAGATGTGATGGTCTGATCTGTCTGTGTGTTTCTGCTTCTGAAAAGTACTTTCAAATATAAGAGTTATATTAGGTCTAAACATCACTGCACTATGTTACACACCAGAACTAAACCAGGTCTAAACTAGGACTGAACCAGGACTGAACCAGGTCTAAACCAGGTCTAAAACAGGACTAAACCAGGTCTAAACCAGGACTAAACCAGGACTGAACCAGGACTAAACTAGGACTAAACCAGGTCTAAACCAGGTCTAAACTAGGACTGAACCAGGACTAAACCAGGTCTAAACCAGGACTGAACCAGGACTAAACTGGGTCTAAAGCAGGTTTAAACCAGGTCTGAGTCAGGTCTAAACAGTTTTACATCAGTAATTAAAACAAACAGCAGCTGAAACTGAAATGAAACTAAAAGGAATGTGTTTTTACCAGAACTAAAACAGAATTAAACCAGGACTAAATCAGGACTAAACCAGAACTAAACCAGGACTAAACCAGGACTAAAGCAGGACTAAAGCAGGACTATCAGAGCATCTCTCAGACTGATGGATGATCTGGTGTTTTTGTTTTCAGAGCCACATCTGAACTCATCTATTTGATTGGAAGTGCCTCTTTAAAGCTCTGCTGTGGAACTTTTCAGACAGAACAGTGTGTGTGTGTGTGTGTGTGTGTGTGTGTGTGTGTGTGTGTGTGTGTGTGTGTATGTGTGCCTGTGTGTGTGTGCATGCATGTGTGTGTGCTGTAATGAACTTTTAAAAGACAAATGCAAAACAAAGACCCAAAACAGAAATGAAACACACTCACAGTGAACATGAACAAATGCACCAACACCTCACTCTTCCACTCCTCCTCCTCCCACTCTTGCTCCTCCTCTCCTGCACCCTCATTCTCCTCTTCTCCTTCCTCCTCCCCCTGCCTATCTCTCTTTCCTTCTCCTCTCTTCTCCTTCTCCTCTCTTCTTCCTAACTTTCTGCTCCTCCTTTCCACCTTGTCCCTCTCCTCCTCTCCTCTCTCTTCCTTCGCTCTGTGGGAAACTCTTGTGTTTGAAATGTGTTTGTTTCAAACTGGAGTTGAGTTTATACAAGAACATAAACAAGACCAGGACTAAACCAGGATTAAACCAGGTCTAAATCAGGTCTAAACCAGGTCTAAACCAGGTCTAAATCAGGTCTAAACCAGGTCTAAACCAGGACTAAAGCAAGACTAAACTGGGACTAAACCAGGACTAAACCAGGTCTAAATCAGGACTAAACCTGGTCTAAACCAGGTCTAAAGCAAGACTAAACTGGGACTAAACCAGGACTAAACCAGATCTAAACCAGGACTAAACCAGGACTACACCCGGACTAAAGCAAGACTAAACTGGGACTAAACCAGGTCTAAACCAGGACTAAACCATGGCTAAAGCAGGACTAAACTGGGACTAAACCAGGACTAAAGCAGGATTCAACCTGGACTAAACCAGGACTAAAGCAAGACTACACCCAGACTAAACCAGGACTAAACCAGGTCTAAACCTGGACTAAAACAGGACTAAATCAGAACTAAACCAGGTCTAAACTTGGACTAAACCTGGACTAAAGCAGGACTAAACCAAGACTAAACCAGGACTGAAGCAGGACTAAACCAGGACTGAAGCAGGACTAAACCAGGACTGAAGCAGGACTAAACCAGGACTGAAGCAGGACTAATTCAAGGGCTTCAGTGACTGTGACACTTAAACTACACAGATCCAATTCGTGTCTCACACAGATCTGTAACAGAGAGAGAGAGAGAGAGAGACAGAGACAGAGAGAGAGAGAGAGACAGAGAGAGAGAGAGAGACAGAGAGACAGAGAGAGAGAGAGAGAGACAGACAGAGACAGAGAGAGAGAGAGAGAGAGACAGAGAGAGAGAGAGAGAGAGAGAGAGAGAGAGAGAGAGACAGAGAGAGAGAGAGAGAGAGAGAGACAGAGACAGAGAGAGAGAGAGAGAGAGACAGAGAGAGAGAGAGAGAGAGAGAGAGAGAGAGAGAGAGAGAGACAGAGAGAGAGAGAGAGAGAGAGAGAGAGACAGAGAGAGAGACAGAGAGAGAGAGAGAGAGAGAGAGAGAGAGAGAGAGAGAAGAGAGAGAGAGAGAGAGAGAGAGAGAGAGAGAGAGAGAAAAAGAAAAGAGATGAGAGTGTGAGCGTGTGTGTAGTGTGTATGTGTCTGTGTGTGTATCTGTGTGTGTGTGTGTGTGTGTGTGTGTGTGTGTATCTGTGTGTGTGTGTGTATCTGTGTGTGTGTGTGTGTGTGTGTGTGTGTGTGTGTGTATGTGTGTATGTGTGTGTGTGT